GGGTTTGGGGCCACCTTGGCTGTAGCCAAGCTGGGTCTTACCCGGCTGGGGATACACTGTTTAACCTGGCTGTACCTCGCCTTACAAGGGAATGCCATGTTTACACTAGAATGTAGTGATGCTGGAGGGGATGCTTAAAGGGGAGAGGGGATTTATGTAAAGCACATGGCACAGTGCCAAGCAAATGCTAAAGACTCAATTAAGGCTCTGGTGCAGTATCAAAGTAATACACTCACAGTTATCTAGAACAGTACTCAAATCTTCCTGTCACCTCCAACCCACCAAAAGTCTCACCCTGCGGTTCTTAAAACTCAACCAGAATTTAGCTCAGAAAGAACACCTGTCTTGAGCATTATACTCTTTATTTACAAAACTAACTTACATGATGGACGAACCATGAGGACATTCTGCTGAGTGAAATTAGTCAAAAAAGAAGAAATACTGCATAGGACCATTATTATAAAAGCTTAAGAAAAAGTATCCACACTAATACACAGGATAGTTTGGGTGCTGGGAAGGGTGCAATGCACAAGAAGGGGGAGGGGAATGGAAGAAAAAGACAGATGGGAGAACATTTACATGGATTTGCATGGGCTAAATGGGACAGATGTAAATCGTGATGTATGCTCAACCTTGGAAAAACAGGGCTCTGGGATACAGGGATTGAGGCATGGTTTGAATGGGTAAAAGAGGGGAAATGATGTTAAGATGCTTGGCTGTCTTTTGAATCTTGGTTTCCCTTGCCTCCTATTATAAAATAGACACTTGAGGGGGAGAGAAAGGAATAGGCAGAAACATCACCATAGAAAGCTTGTAAGTCCATCTTCAGCCTATAACTGACTGAAATACCTAAAATGGGGCTAGAACTTGCCCAGTGAAAGGAGGCTTCCTATGGAGTCTTTGCATTGCATAAGACCATAGGTGGAATCCTGAACCCCATCGAGAATCTTTTGAGGTGGGAAATTTCTACTTGCAAGGACAAGCAGACCAGCCTGGAGTGGCTAGAAGAACAGAAGATACTTCTTGAAAGAAAGACCAGCAGGAAAAATACAAAACAATAACAACAGTCCGATTGATTACTACAAGAACAAGCAAGTTGTTCACCCGGGAGCCATCAAAGCAAGTGGTCGGGTCCCCTCAGGGCAAACCCCTTTCCATGACTGAGAATCAAGGAGAATACACTAACAGGCATGTGGTCTTGCTGGTGATCAAGTTGGTCTACCGATAAGGGGAAGTGGGGGAAAAACAGCAATGAAGTTGTGAGCTAAGTCCAACCAGGTTCAATAGACTCCTGTCAACCTAGATTGAGATCTGGTTTGCCAGCAGTACGGTGAGACCAGGGGAATCTTGGACCCAGGGACAGGGACATGGCCACAGAGGACTAGAGAGGACAGTGAAGCACCCAGCTGAAAGGAAGTGAGGGGAGATGCACAAGAACACCCATACTTGCAGATAGTACCTATTTGACCTGGCTTCAATGGCTGGATGATCAGAACTCGACTAGAGGAAGAAAGAAGATGAAAAAAAGAGCAACCCTCTACAATTGGATGAACCTAGCCTATACTTATGGCTGTAGTAGCTCAATAGAGGGAACACATCTTTACAGCGAGGCTCATTCCCACCTCCTTGGTACATAGGGTGAACAGAGATTGGCAACTTAGACACTGGCTACCCAAAATGGGGGGTGGGGTGGGGGAGGGGCTACAAAGGCAAGAAGTGACTGGCTTACAAGCTTTCAAGAGGGACTCTAGATCCAGAGGGCATGAAGGAAGGTAGAATCTCCACTGAGTAGTAGCCAACCTGTCTGGGCAGGGCTGGTGAAAGGAGATGGGGATAGGTCTCTTGTGATACAATAGTGAATAATTGCTATTAGGGCTGACTGTGAGCATTGCAAATATAAAGGTAGACATTTTGTAACAAAAGTAGGGGAATGGTTGATCTTGCAGTCCAGGAGCAGAGGACCCTGGGACCATTAAGGGAAATGAGCAGAGTGTGGGAGCCTACCCAGAGAAACAGTGATGCCAGAGATGGAGGCAGAGATGATGATATGGAGAGACGGAGAGGCTGGGGACTCTATACTCAGGGAGGGAGAGGGGCTATGTGCTGATGGCTGGGAGGCAGGCTTGTGGGGTATACACTCTGGTTGTTTGAATAGTTATATATTCCTGAGTGCTTTGGTGTACATCCAAAAACAAAAAACAAAAAAAAAAACAGAGGGAATGGAAGAAGCAAATGCTGTTGAATGATGATGTATGGAGGTGATTATAATTATTGCAATGAAACGAAATACGATAGGATGAAGGCAAAGCTGATGTTTTCCCACAGAAACTATCACTCAATTCACAATAAAAAACTTAAAAAAACCTAACTATATGGAAACAAACTGACAACGACAATTTGAAAGCCTAGATAGGGACCGCAGAGCACAGTGAGGTGATGTTGATGGGGGAAGACTGACTCAGGAAAGGGGGGTGAGAATGCTTGCTCGCCTTGAAGAATGTCATCAACATCACTGAACTGTGCATGGAGGACCACTGGTGCACGCTCTGCTGTGTTCCTTTGCAACAACAAAATAAGATTACAGGAAAACGCTTAAACAGTCATCCCTTCAGTGCTGTGCCGTGTCCCTCCTGGTGGACCAGAGAGAACTGTCTGACGGGTACACACTGGCAATGGCAGAAATCACTGTTGGGTACCGGGCTGGCCATTTCCTCTTCCTAAGCTGAGCAGAGAACATTAACCTCTTAGAAAGAAGAAAACTGTGGTTTAGGGACATGCAGTCACCTGCCTGGGGTCACACAGTTTACAAGTGAAGGAGTTGGAGGCTGAAACCATTTTCACTGTGAGCGCCTGTCCTTCTCCCAACAGCACTCTGGGGCTTGAAGCATGACTGTACTATGGATTCAGATAAAGAAATGGTTGTGTGCACTAACCACACCACTGTCTGTACATTCTGTGTCTGGGAACTGAGAAGTTTGTACAAACCAGTTGTTGCTGCTGTTAGGGGACAAAAAATGAAAGACTCCATCACCAAATCTTATGGGGGTGATGCATTCCTTGTTAACACCCACTGTTTGATGCTTCCTTGAAGAGCAGAACTGAGCACGCTCTATGTGACAGTTCTACTTCATCTCATGGGTTTGCTGTGAGTTGAAAATAAAGCTAGCTCATTGCTGTAGTCCACAGGGCTAGACTAGGAGCTTTGTCAAACTCCTCACACATCATGCACACAGAACAAGCAATCAAATGCACCAGCATGTCAATGTCCAGCACGCTGGACACCATGCTGGATGTGGGGGCAGAACGAACAAAAGGAAGGGCCAGTGCTCTAAAACACTGCATCCTCTTCTACAGCTGCACTGCCTCACAAGGCTGTCCACAGGATCTAGACTGCAGCTCTTGTGAATGTTGGGACACAGTGCAGGAAACAGCACACACTCAGCAAATGTTGTGGAGGTGGAAGGCTGGCTTTTACCAGAATATCTAGACTGAAAACCAAGATATTTGCATTTTTTGAAAAAACAAAATCAGCGGTTGTTGTTGTTGTTGTTATGTACCGTGGAGTCGGTTCTGACTCATAGCAACCCTACACAGAGAAAATCAGTGGTAGGATTGATTGATTTATTAAAAGTAGAAATCCTTGAGTTTGGCGGCTCCCCCCTCCCCTGCTTACTGCGTGATTTTTGGCAAACTACTAAATCTTCATTTCTGGGGCTACAGTACATGGGGAGAACCACCTACTTCATAAAGTTGTGATGCAAGATCTTCTTTGTAAAGTCTGGAGCAATATCTACTATGTGCCAGGGGCTGGGTTCAATCCTCCAGTGTATTAAAGGACCCTAGGCACAATGCATCTAGTTTTCCACCAGGAAAGGCCACTGAAGAGCTAGATTTTGAAGGGCATCTAATTGTTACACAATACATGAAAAAAAATATAGATAGATAGATAGATGTGAAGAGAAAAGACAATTCTAGTCTGCCTGAGTACCAGAGGTCACAAATCAGACACTGTCTGGTCAAAGCTTGACTGAGGTTGTACAAGTTCAGTGATGGCCTCCGGAAGTTTCATCAAAGACTCCACTGCCTGGTCTACATCCATCTGAGCGCCATCATCACGCCAAAGTCGGCGTTTTGCTGTATGCATGCCTGTCATTGTCTTCCACGTAGACCTTTAACTATAAAGGGAGAGGTTTCCTAGGTGCCAAACGAGGATCTTCTCAACAGAATAAACACTGATTTCATATAAAAAAACATCAAACTATATTATCACAAGAGCTATATTGTCACAAGAGGCATATACAAAGCTCTGTTTTGCCTCTGGTGACACTTATGTCTGAATAAATCACTGTTTAGAAATTACTGCAAACCGGCTCATTATTCACAGGTAGGAGCCAGCAGTTGTTAGAAAACCGGTGTACTGCTGCTTACAGATTGAAGTGGCCTAGAAATACCAAAACTTTTGGTTCTTACTCGACAATACTGGATTTTTTTAAAAATTCTGATACGATTCTTACCTATAGAGATCAAACGGTTAAAGACTGCAGTTTTTGCACCTCTTTAGAATATATTGAATATTCAAGTCAGACTTTTAGATTACATATAATTTCAGTGATCATTTATAAAGTCTGATTGCTTCAACGATCCAGTAAGTTCGGGTGGGCTAACCCATGCCCTAGTAGTACAGTGGCTAAGCACTTAGGTGCTAACTAAAAGGTCAGAGGTTCAAAACCACCAGCCACTCCCAAGATGAAGGATGTGGCCATCTGTTTCTGTGAAGAGTTAACAGCCTGTGGGAATTGATGGGCAGTAATGGGTTATCTTTATATTTCCTTTGGTGTGTCTTGCAACTCATGCTAGTCGCTAGGACAGATAGCGCTTCTCCAGTTAAAAGAAATAAAACACAAAAACAGGTCAAGTTACCCAAAACGACTTTTTCTCATACTTTCCCCAGACTCTAGATGTGTCTGTTCCAAGGTCTGAGAATAGCAAGCAGTTCTTACCTCTGCACTGAGGCACTGTAGCTGTTGTCATAGGAATCGTAACTCTGCTCGTCATAAGCAGTACCGTATCCATCATCATAGTCCTAGAATACAACACGAGAGGCACACAGCGTCAGACAAGTTCTGTGTGAGACAAAAGCAGCCCTTGTCTTAGGCAGTCTTTATTAATCCATCAAACACAACTGCACAACTAATGTTGGCGTAGTCAGAAACACCAGAGTGACAGCAGGAAAGCAACAAGAAAACTGGAAGAAAAAAAACCTGTCAAAATCAAAATTCCCAGGATGCTGGTAATTAATCAAGGGTTTTCGGGTTTCCAGGGACATTACTGACTCAAGACCAATGGCTGACCCTTGGTCCAAACAGTGAGCTCTGCTGTGTCTTTAGTGACTGTACCCATCCACCTTGACCACCAAGGGCATGCAGCCATAGTGGACACTAGCAGGTTGGCAGTCACTGGAGAGTTCTGCAAACCCCATTTCCTGAGAACCGGCTGTATCTGATGTAACTTAAGGCTTGCCCAGTATGAACAGCCTTGGCCATCAACCTATTGGCCAAATATAATTACAGGCAATTGTTTACGATGGTGGCTACTTGAGGTGGTGGATGGAAACTGGGCAAACAAGCTTTAACACTGTGGGGGAAGGAGGTGCTCACAAGGGCCCGGAGAGCTGGGGATATCCTGGGCTCGTGTGGGGCTGTGCATGTGCCCAGGAAAGAGCCCTAAGCTTTCACGTGTGCAGCCTGATTCTGAGGCACCAGCAACCAGTAAAGATGAAGCTGACACGCCAGCTGCCTGACTGAGTGCCAGAGGTGTGTCCCGACACAATACAGCGCTCTCTGATGAAGGCTGGGAGATTGACTGCCTCGAGGGATTTGATGGAGCTCCATGGTTACACCCTAGGCTTCTAACAGAGAGGTCCACAGTTCGAATCCACCAGCCACTCTGAGGGATACAGATGAAGCTTTCACCTTGGAAACTATACACAGGGTTGGAACCAACTCGGAGCCACAAAACAACATCAAGAATTTAATAACATCGCAGTTTAATTATTAACTGACCACTAAGCTAATTTAAGGAGCTCTGGTAGCGTAGTGGTTACGAATCGGGCTGCGAACCTTAAGGTCAGCGGTTCGAAACTACCAGCCGCTCCGCGGGAGAAAGATGAGGCTTTCTACTCCCGTAAGGATTTACACCCTTGGAAACCCTGTACAGGGTCGCTATGGGTCGGAACCGACTCGACAGCACTTAACAACAACAACAACAACAAGCTAATTTAGTAACAATTTCAGTGGTCACATAAAAACTAGAAGGAAAAACAAGTCATCAATAGGAATAACCCTGAGGAAGGCCAAATGCTGAAGTTATAAAAAATGAGGCCAAAATCAGTTATTTTCAATATGTTTAAAGAGCTAAAGAAGTTAAAAAGCATGCCTATGGAACTAAAAGGCAGTAAAGGAATGATATCACTCCAAATGGAGAATCTCATAAAAATTCTGAAATGATAAAAAAAAAAGAATAGAAATTATAAAACTGAATGGTTTAAAAATATCTAATATGTAAAACCCTACTATAGTTAACACCTAATACCTGTATACCCTACTACAGCAATACCTAGTGTGCACACTCCTAGTACAGTAATGCCCAATACACGTACCCTACTAGACTAACACACCCCTACTACTATAAGGGAGTCCTGGTATGGC